AGAAGGATTAATGTTTACATGGCAAGAACAGAGACACAGAATTGACTCAATTGAGAAAGCAGAAATATTTTACAATCAATTTTTCGAAAAAAGAGAAATAGAAACAGAAAAAGAGATCATCTCAACTGAATCTCAAGAGGACCAAATGGAGATGGGAAAAGAAGAAGGTGCAGTAGGTGGACAAGTGGAGACCAAAGAACATCGTGAAATAAGATCTATGAGAGCTGTTAGACCTAAATACAAAACATAATCATGGAGGAAAAAAAAATGATTTCTATGAATATAAATGGACTGAACTCAGCTATCAAAAGAAGATAAACCTTTCATAAATTAGAGAAGTTAAAATTTGATATAATTTGCCTACAAGAAGTACACATTAAAAAACAACATGAACAATTACTGGCACGACCAAAATTAGGGAAAATATTCACTTCTCTGACCCATTGTAAGAAAAGAGGAGTGGTTTTATATATTAAAGAAACTATCCCAGCAAAATTGATATATACTGACGAAGAGGGAAGAGTATTAATGGTTGAAATAGTGGATAATAATACAAAAACACTCCTGGTTGCAATTTATGCCGCGAATGATAAACAAGAAGATTTTTATAAAAAATTACATATGAAAATATTGGGACTGGACTATATTAATATAGTTATGATGGGAGATTTCAATGGGATTGTAGACAATAAACTGGACTATACAGCAACAAGACAAAATAGAAAGACTCTCCCTAAATCCTTTTTCAAAATGATAGATGAATTAAACTTAAAAGATATATGGAGAGAAAGAAATGCTAAAATTCAACAATATACTTTTTACTCAAATAGACATTTATCATGGTCCAGAATAGATATGATTTGGACCTCAACAGAATTAATATCTAATATCCAAGAAATAAATATTGAAACAAATACATGGGCAGATCATAATCCAATGACAATTAAATGAAAAGGACAAAAAAGAAGATCTAGATGGACATTAAATAATACTATTTTAAAGGAAAAAGACTTTACACAATGGATGGAGAAAGAATTGGCCTTCTTCTTTAGTGAAAATAAAAAAGAAGATACTTCAATACAGAATGTTTGGGATACAATGAAGGCATATGCGAGAGGTTTAATAATAGACTATACAAAGAAAAAGAATATTAGGAAGAGGCAAACTATCAAAGCCTTAGAAGATAATCATAAAAAACTGGAAAAAGAATTACAGAAAATGCCACAGAAAAAAGAGATTAAACTTAAAATGGACATAATTAAACATAAAATGGGTCAGATAGAGAAAGAAGAACTGGCGCAAAAAATTAGAAGTGCTAAACAGAACTATTTTGAAGATGCAAATAGGCCAGGTAGATGGTTAGCATACAAACTGAGAAAGGAGAAAGAATCAAGGAAAATATTACAGTTAATAGACGATCAAGGCCAAATGTGCTATGGTAATAAGGAGAAAAAGGCAATTATCCGAGACTTCTATGGACAACTATATAAACAAGAGGCTATTGATGAGGAAAAAGTTAAACAGTATTTACAAAATGCTAACCTACCTAAGATACCTGATGAGACTGAAAAAATGCTAGAAAGTACTATAACAATGATGGAACTAACCGAAGCACTTAGCAGACAGAATAATGGAAAAGCACCAGGTCCAGATGGACTACCGGCAGAATTTTATAAAACATTACAAGAATCGTTGAACATTCCATTGCTAGAAGTCATGAATGGAGTTATGTCAAATAAGAAGATACCTAAAACATGGTCAGAAGCTTACATTACACTTATTCCAAAAGAAGGGGCTGATCCATTACAAATCAAGAACTATAGACCTATTTCTTTATTGAATGCAGATTATAAAATTTTTGCTTCAATTTTGGCAGAAAGGCTTAAAAGATACTTAAATAATTTTATTCATCCCAATCAGAATGGGTTCCTGCCAAAGAGACAAATTAAAGACAATATGAGGGTAATTCTGGACACTTTGGAATATTATGAGGTGCACCCTGAAAAACAAATGGCTTTGATATTCCTAGATGCCCAAAAGGCATTTGATAATGTGAACTGGAGATTTATGTTACTACTACTGGAACAGATGGGTTTTGCCAGAAAATTTATTCAAGCAATAGAAGCCATATATTATAAGCAAACGGCAAAAGTAATGTTAGAAGGAGAATTTACAGACTCTATTAACATAAGAAAAGGCACAAGACAAGGATGCCCATTATCACCTTTGTTATTTGTATTGACTTTGGAAGTGCTGAATAGAAATATTAGAGAGGACCAAAATATAAAAGGAATGAAAATCAAAAAGGAGGAATTTAAACTACAAGCCTTTGTGGATGATTTAGTTTTCATTTTGGAAGATCCTCTAGAGACAGTTTTAAAATTATTGGAAAAGATAGAGACATATGGTGAGATGGCTGGTTTGAAAATAAATAAAGATAAAACAAAGATTCTGACAAAGAACATGTTATTAAGACAAAGAGAAGAGCTCACAGACCTATTGAAAATTCAAGTTATGAATAAAGTTAAGTATTTGGGAATATATTTGACGTCAAGATGCACTACATTGAAAGAGAATAATTATATTAAACTCAAACAGCAGATAGCACTTGATTTGAAGAAATGGGAAAACCTACAACTGTCATTGATAGGCAGAATTTCAACAATCAAGATGAATATTTTACCCAGAATTTTATATTTGTTTCAAACAATACCAATTAGGCTTGGCAAAGATTATTTTGAAGATTTAAATAAAATTGTGTTTTAAGTATATATGGCAAGGTAAGAAAGCGAGAATAAAATTAAAACTTCTACAAGATGCTAGAATTAGAGGAGGATTTGGCCTTCCTAATTGGGAGTTGTATTATCAAGCTGCAAATTTGATGTGGGCTAAAGAATGGATAACATTAAGAAAGACTAGATTGTTGACACTAGAAGGACATGATCTATTACTGGGCTGGCACGCTTTTCTGTGGTACAAGGGAACTAAATCGCAGGGCTATTTTAGAAGGCATTGTATACGGGAGTCTTTATGGTTAAACTGGGAGAAAATTAAGAGACAATGTTATTTGAAAATCCCAGTTTGGTTATCAACTATTGAAGCTTTTTCTTATCCTATAATATACAAGAAGGAACAAACAGATATGGGGAAATATTGGATGAAAAAGGGTGAACTTAAAACGATGCAAAACTTAGAAGAACAAGGTATAAAGATGAATTGGTTTTCATATGCGCAAATACACTCAAGGTATGTTAAAGATTCTAAAACAGAGGGATTTTATGATAAATTGACTGACTTAGATAAGATTTTGACAGGTACTGTTGAAAAAGTGATTAAAAAACTATATGGTTATTTACTGGAAATTAAACTAGTGGAAGAACAAGTTAAAGAAATGATGATTGCTTGGGGGAAGAATTTTGGATATGGGATTGATTTAGAGAAATGGCAAAAATTGTGGTCTCAAAATTATAAAATGACAATGTCAACAGCATATAAAGAAAATTTGTATAAGATGTTTTACAGGTGGCATTTTCCCCCAACAAGAATAGCAAGAATGTTCAAGAATAAATCTGAAAAGTGTTGGAAATGTCATCAGATACCTGGTTCATATTATCATATGTGGTGGACTTGTGAGGACGCTAGAAAATATTGGACTAAAATTCGTATATGGTTGGAAAAAATGACAAAGAAACATATAGATTTAAAACCAGAGATTTTTTTATTGGGAATCTTACCTGATACATACAATAAAAATTTGAAATATTTGATTGTAAATGTATTAACAGCGGCTAGGATTGTATTTGCTAAAAATTGGTAGAGTGAGAAAATACCATCACAGGAAGAAATTATTAAGAAAATATTGGGATGTGCTGAAATGAGTAGATGGACATTTGAAATTAGAGAACAAGAAGATAAACAATTCTATGAAGTTTGGGACTTTTTCTATCAATGGTTAGATAATAAAATATAATAATAGAATATTTAGAACCTTAGGAAACAATGAATACACATTTCCTTTTTTTCTATGATATTATCTTTATAAAATTTTATTAAGATAGACTTGCTATGACTTTATGATTTGCTATAAAATAAATTAAGTAAACTAGTTATCTCGCTAAAGTATGAATTAATAAAATTATAGTCAAATAATTGTTTAATAATGATATCAGGCTATATAATTGTTGATTGATAATATGAGTTATTATGCAATATAACTACAATGGAGACTATGAAATGGATGCACAAAAAAAAGTGATAAACCAACCGATACACTGTCTGTAAACTCATGAAGGAAAGGATGATGTTTTTATGTTTTATGTGTTTTTGTTTGTTGTTAAAATTAATAAAACTGTTTTCAAAAAAAAAGGGGGAATTAATGTATCCACATTTTATTTTTCAGTTCCCTTTCCAATGATTTGAAACATGAAACTTGCCTTTTATTTACAGCAACCATTCACTGTATTCACACTGTAAACAGGCTATCTACTATGATGCCGAGATCTGCTTCCTGATTATAATCACGCCAACTCACATTTAATCAAAGGACAAAATAAAATGATCAGAATTGATCAAAAAGAACTTTTTGATCAATTCTACGGTAACACTCAGATTTCAAACAGTAAAACCAGATCACCAATATGATTACATTCTTTAAAAGACCTAGGTGAATGAAATAGGTATTATCTAATGCCAGAAAGAATTGCAATTCTGAATAATACCTTGTTTTGAACAATTATATATAAATAAAAACAATTTATAGTAAATCTGATATCACAACTCTGTGATGGATATTATAACATTGCTAGAACAAGCATGCTCTGTTCTAAAGAGATGCATCTGCAATAATTGAGATTTGAATTTAAGTATGAATTTTTAAGGAGAGAAGGGTGGACATTATTCTGAACACATGTATCTAATGCATGTAAGATGAAATAAGGAAACAGATTGTTGCAAGCCTTAGTTTTCACTTCCTTTTCTGGAGGCGAAAAAAACACATACTATATGATAATCAAACTCAGCTCAGATTCATAACAGTTCTCATTGTCATCATGGGTAACTGGGTAGAGAACGAGGGGCTTTCCATATTTGTCATTGTAAGTATATTCGTTATGCATTTCAATTTACCAGAGCTAAAATCCATTTAATTTTATAAAAGCATCTTCAATTCAAGAGGTGCAAAAATCTAAAATTGTTTTCCTGTTTTGAATGCATTGTAGTTTTAATATATGCAGTATTTAAACAGGAAGTGTGTTATAGCTTTAAAAACAATTAAATATAGAGACCTCTCAATGAAATATGAACTGTTCTGTTGGAAAAAATAGGAAATAAATATGATTTGTAAAATTTTTAAGTTTAGTTAAAGGGTGGTAGCAATTTAAGGGCTTGCAAAAGAAATAGGTGCCTTTTATAAATTATTATAAATTGTTATGTGAGTTATGTGAGTAGACATTTTATTTATGCCTTTAATTGTGTCTTTTTTCTCAACCAGCTAGTTTTGAATACTTTTTTGGATACCAGTATAATACTAACGGTTTTTTTTTTTTTTTGAATTAGTATAAAACTAGGCTGGACCACGAGACCGTGGTTTACTGAATTTCATATAATTTCTCATTATGTATTGTTGTAGATATTTCCTTCAGAACTAAGTAATGATCTATGTTACTAGTCACATATAACAAAAGGTCAGGTTTCCAGGTAGATTCCAAAATGTGGACTAGCTTTCTGTGCAACTTTTGAAGAATACTAAAATATAATTAAAGAGCTTGATCAGTAAGCAAACAAAGTTAATGAAATTGACAATGTTAACCCCCCTCCCCTCCCTATGAAGGGTAGGATTTTAAGATGTTCCACTTAATTTTGAGAAAGCTCAACTGCATTTAACATGGCTATAATTAGTCTTTGAGAAAATCAGGGTATAGTCACCATCTTGCCTCTGCTAGAGAAGGGGTCAGGATGTTAAACAGCAGCACCACTATTAACAGTAGCCAGTGCTATTCTATTGCTCACAGTTAGGTTGTGGATGTGAGTTGAAATTTAAAAACAGCACCTGTAAAGTGTTTGAATTTTGATCACATGGCCATGGGGTCCTGCAATGGTCATGTGAAAAAACAGTCATAAGCCACTTTTTTTCAGTGCCATTGTAACTTTGAATGATGACTAAATGAACTGTTGTAAGGTGAGGACTACCTGGAATGAAAAGTGCATACTTTGCACTTGGGGAAAGAAGCCCAGCCTGCATGGACTATAATGCAATATAATTGTCCTATTTGGACTCACTGTTGAATGTAACTGTTAAAAGTAGAATTGGTTCAAATTGGGGTGCATAACCTTTTGACTTTGCTGCTTTTTCCAAAATCTGGGCTAGAGTTTCCAGAAACTTATTCTGATCACTAGATCTTACAATTATAGTAAAGTCCTGAAAATAATTTTAGGCCATGTTTTTCTTCTTTCAGCTGGTATGGCTGGGTTTAAATGTTTTTCTCTTTTGGTATTACTACTTAATATATGATAAAGGGCCGCTGTACTACTATACAAGAGAACTTCTTGGGGTAAGTCCTACAATCACATGCTGTTTGTTCCCATATTTCAGTGTACTTCATCATTGTTCTAATGTTTATTGGATATTGCTGCTAATTGCAGCTCAAAATGTGCATCTCTGATTTATATTGCCAGTTCTAACTTTTCAAGGTGATAAGTCTAAAAAACAATACTTGTGATATCTTCTACAAATCCACAAGAGAAAGCAGGCAAATGACCACATTGAATAACAAGTCTTCCTCCTCAGCTGTTCTTTAGTAATGTTGTATATAAAGTCTGTATGGCACAAGGTTATTAATGCCAGAAGTTTCTCAGAGAACTCCCACAGAGTTAACCAAAATAGCCATTCATTTACAGTAAAGTCCAGGGGTTCACAATTGAATCTATTAATTTTAAGATGCAGATAAAGATAGCTCCAGGAAGTTTATCTCCCTGAATCTATAGATAATAGTGCTTCAAGCTTAGTCTTCTGGTTCTCTCCTTTTGACAAACAATTTATTCTATATTGATGAGATCTTAAGTTCCTTTGGCTGTATTCATTCCCAACCATGCCTGCCCTCTGTTAAGAATCAACTTCAGTGGTTACCAATTTCAAGATGTGTCATTTAGCATTCCCAGAATTTCTCAGGCAGCTTCAAGCACATATCTTAAATTTGCTAAATGGCTGGGGAATTCTGGGACTTAACGTCCACACATCTTAACATTACTAAGGTTGAGAAACACTGGTGTACTCTCTCATAATTTGTAGGTTATTAGCAATGCTTCATTTCCCCCCAAATTTGACAGTAAGATTTTTTTCTGTTGTCATCCAAATGACAATTGGATTGATTGAGAACCCACCTGTGATTGTAGCCATTTTCTGTGCAGTTTGAAGAGGTCTAGTTAAGCCCTCAATGTTTCTCTTTGCTTTGGGAAAAAACTTTGGCAACTTTCTTCTCAGTAATGCTGGCATATGCAAAATACTTTTCCTTGCTTCTTTTAGCAAGAGAGAAACTACCGGGGAGAGCAAAGTTAAGCCCAGTCCCAGCCAGGGATCCTGATCAGAAGCCCTAAAAGTTAGATTTAACTTTTCCCCATAAACTCTAATTATTGCTTCCTCTGCTGTTAATTTTAACAGACCAAGGGTTTTTTTTTTCTGAAAATATACCAGGAATAAATAATACAGTATGATATGCTGAGAGTGAAAATCTAGATACATATATAGAATATTCTTCCCTGATAAAAAGTCAGTATCTTTTTCTCTGAAATGTTGCAACTTTGTTTCAGCTTGACTGTTATAAAATGCAGCCATCTATTAAGCAATCTTAGAAGTCACTGTTCAAGCCTATTTCCCTTTTTTTGTCTTTCCACTTCATATTAATGGTCAAGTAAACCAAATATAACACTCCTTGTTTAAAAATAATCCTTGTTATCCACCTCCCAAAATGAAGTTATTGGAAATTCTGTTACATCTATTACAAAACAGAAGAAACAATGTCTGGTGCATCAGGATTCATTTATTTCTCCTCTCCTCCCTCCCCCCTCTAGTGGGAAGAATCTGGCATCAGCCACTACTAGAAGGGGAGAGCAGTCTTCCGGAAAATATTCTTAAGTGTTGCTGAAGAGTATTGCCCCATCAAGAACCCAATTCTTCTTGCTTTATGCAGGAATTGGAAGCAGAGTTTGAGCAAGACACAAAGGGAAATAGTAATAAGAGTACATTTCAAATTCATCTGGTTTAGTACTAGCTAGCTAGGTAGATATAGAGCAATGCAGGCTGTATAGCAGGGTGTCCAACTTTGGGAACTTTAAGACTTGTAGACTTCAATCCCAGAATTCCCCAGCCAGGTTGGACATCCTTGCTGCAGAAAAAAAAACAGTCATTTCTCCCCTTTTATTAGTCTAAAAGCAAATGAAAGTGTCTTGAAGTTCTGAAGGGAAACTAATTCCAAAATTACAACAAATCAATGATTTTTGAATTGAGCAGAAATGTTTTAAGAGTGGAGGAAAGAGAAAGTTACTGGATAAGAAGGGTAAAACCCACAAAACAGAGTGCCACCAAAAACAACATTGTACAGTTACAGGGACACTATGCAATCGTTAGAGTCTCAGGAGAAACCACCTTTGTTCCTCTTAAAATACCTTTCTTCCGAAATTGTGTTTAAGCAGTGCTATGGTGTTCTTTTCCTCCATGCTCCATCTTCTGATAACCTTTCTTCTGGACAAGATGGTCATCCATAGGATCATTTAAAATAAGCTGAGGTGTTAGTCATCAGACATAGCCTTGCCTCCATAGAAGCTTTGAATTTCAATAATCTCACTTTGTCTCTTAGAACCAATATTGTGACCTTCAGTTAGTCTATGTTATGCCAACTATGCAAAGTTTCTTGGTATACATTAGTTTGCAGTTAGTATTTATTTCAGAATTAATCCTCTTTTCATATTCTCTTCATATTCAAATATATTGCAATAGGTTTTTGTAAATGGCTCCCCAAAAACTCATGGCTTTTTAGATGTTGCTAAATTACAATTCCCAGCATCCCTTTCTATTAATTGTATTGGCCAGGTCTGCTAGAATAGCTTGACAACACCCATAGTCCCTATATAATGTTGATTCTCCCTTCTGCGTAGGAAACCCAACCCATTAGGGTTTTTAGTTCTGTTTCAATGTATCCTTAAATGATATTGCTTGGTTAATTTTGATCCATTGTCTGATGTTTAGCCTTATTTGGCATTGGCCCGGGCACCTGCAGCATGTCTGAATTTCAACTGCCTATTAATTCTGCTTCCTGTCTGTAGAAATCTGCTTTCCTTTCTCAGAGGCTCAAGTGCAGTAAGTATTTATTATTTTTAATGAAAAAAATAATAATAATCCTAAGCAAATGAGGGTTGTCTTCTGTTCTTTTAATCTTGTAAATTACCTATTATTAATACAAATGTTGTGCTAGTGAGTGAACTTTCACTGAACATGGTTCTGACTTCTTTGCACAGCTGAAATTCATTGAAAAGGACTCTTATGCCCACCCAGTTACTGACTGGATCAAACATCATATAAGCCAGGCTTTTCTTAATCAATGTGGTAAATCAACTATAAAGACATAAAGCTAAAAAATAGGTTTATTCATGCATACTAAGCTATGGTTTGTTTTAGTCATGATTTTCTAAACAATTCATAAACAAACTAGTTAGTCTTAAATACAAACAGTATGATCAGGGATGGGATTCTACCTGGTCGGACAGGTTCAATAGAACCAGTTATGATTCTGCGCAGTTCAGAGAATTGGCAAATTGTGCCACTGGCCGGCCCCTCCCCTTCCAACCCTGCCCACTCACCTCCTTACCTGGCATGCACGCCATTCAACTTGCCTATGTTTGGTAAGTTGCTATTTTTCCTTTTTTTCCTCCCTGACCATCAGCTGTTCTGCTGTTGGATTTCTTGCTTTCTAGCTAATCTAAAAGCAGAGCTGAACCTTCCTTAGGACTGAAGCTTCTATTTTTCAGTGCAGACTCAGGTAGTAGATTGCAGAATAATAGATCTGAGTGAATCTGTGATTCTGTGAGCAATTCAATCTGCCTGCCTGCTTGGCCTGATTTTGGGTAAAAGTTCTTTTTTTATAAAAAAAATCAATATTTACATACATGGTGTATTGTGAGTTAATTTTATGAGTTTGCTTGCAAGCAAATTTTATGTGTCAGACTCAGGTAGCAGATTGCAGAATGGTAGATCTCTGAGTGAATCTGTGATTCTGTGAGCAACTCAATCTGTCTGCCTGCCTTGCCTGATTTTGAGCAAAAGTTGCTTTTTTTAATTAAAAAATTAAATATTTACATAAATATTTATAATATTTACATATAAGCCACGTCTAGCCAGTTACATGGCCATCAAGCCACAACCACAAATTAGGCCATGCCCACAGAACCAGTTGTTAAGAAATTTGAATCCCACTGCTGAGTATGATCAGACTTAAATAGTTTGTTCTGACTTGTTTTTCCAACTTTTAAAAGTATTATTTCCTCATACCTCATTGATTGTAAGGGGAAAACCAGTGTTCTCCAAGCTGTGCATTTCTAGAAGTGTGGATCTCAACTTCCAAAATTCTCTGAACACTGTCTGGTGAATTCTGGAAATTGAAATCAATATATCTGAAGAATGCCAGGTTAGGAAACACTGCAAAGAAGTGCAAAAAGCAAACTAAGGATAGGGACATACTGGTCCTAATTTAAAATTATCCTAAACCAAACCAAACATAGAGCTCAACTGAATGTTGGAAGAGCTTATTGAAGAAGGAAGGTAAAGAGAAACAAGATATACCAATGAGTGCTGCTGGCACTGGGGAGTTACAGTTCACTGAGGGAATCATGAATGCCAACATGTCCTGTGACATACTGAAGCAGAGCATGTTCCCCTCCCTTCGGAGACTGGGCCACAGGGCAGTATTTCAACATAATGACCCCAAACACACCTCCAAAATGACAACTGCCTTGCTAAAGAAGCTGAAGGTAAAGGTAATGGACTGGCCAAGCATATCTCCAGACCTAAACCCTACTGAGCATCTGGGGCATCCTGAAATGGAAGGTGGAGGTGTGCAAGGACTCTAACATCCACCAGCTCCATGACATCATCATGGAGGAGTGGAAGAGGACTCCAGTGGCAACCTGTGAAGCTCTGGTGAACTCTGGCCAAGAGGGTTATAAGTCAGTGCTGGAAATTAATGGTGGCCACACAAAATATTGACACTTTGGGCCCCATTTGGACATTATCACTTAGGAGTGTACTCACTTTTGTTGCCAGCAGTTTAAACATTAATGGTTGTGTGTTGCATTATTTTGAGAGGGTAGCTCATTTATACTGTTATACAAGCTGTATACTGACTACTTTACATTGCAGCCAAGTGTCATTTCTTCTTGTCACATGAAAAGATATACTTAAATATTTACAAAATGTGAGGGGGTGTACTCACTTCTGTGATATATTGTACATCTGTTGTAAAAGAAGTAAGAAGTCATTCTCTCTTTTTTGTATTTCTGTTTATTTTTTATTTTGTTGTCTCTCTCTGTTTCTTTACTCTTTTTTTCTTCTGCTCTTTTTCTTATTATTAGTTCTTGTTAGTTTTTATCTTCCAGCCTTAAAATATAGTTGTTTTTTTTAAAAAAGGAAGGAGGAATTCTTAGATACTGTGGTCCCAAACAATGAAAATCCTGATCAATTATGACTTGCATCTTACCTGTGACTAGAAATTAAGTGAGAAGATTAAATAAAATCAATACAATATCTTTATAACACCAGTATTCTCAATGCAGTATTCTGTGTTAATTGAGTTTCAAGGTCACTTCATATAAAACATATTGTAAATAAGTATAAATATGAAGTTATCGAGGTATGAACTGCTATATCAGAGCTACAGTAAAGGCTATACACAGTAAAGGCCATACACACTAATGTAAGTTGCAAGAAATCACTTTTTGCCATAGGAACTCTTGTGTACCCAATAAAAACAATGGATTCAGAGGGAATACAACTTTTCCAGAACAAATTGAAAATAATATACCCAGACATGTAAAACATCTATTAACACTACATACATTTTGTCCAGATTAAACTTCAATTTATTGCTCCTTAACTACTCCATAATTTTAGTGTGCATTGTTTTAGCACTTCCATTGTCCATCCAGATGAATAAAAAGGAGAGGTGTAGGTAATGATAATTTAAAGCTAGAAGAGAAAAACAGCCACCGAAGCTGCTGAAAGGTTGGGATAGCTCCAGAATGGAAGAGAAGAAGAAAGAAAGTGTATCGGTTTTGGGTGGCATTTACCTCTGGCAAGAATAGAAGAATAGGAGAAGAAGATGGCGCCCAACAAGGATGGTGAGGTTCTTGCCTCTGGAGAGCTTATCACCTTTTAGATCCTTTTAAAACCTCCACCTTCACCAGAAGTTGCCTGAAATCGTGTGCCCCCCAATTTAATCAACCTACAACTCCTACACTGCAAAAACATATGGACTACTCTACTCGGCCAGGGTAAAGCTAAAGACGCAATTTACATAGACTTCTGCAAAGCCTTTGATTCAGTGGTACACGACAAACTACTGTTAAAACTAAACTCTTACGGCATTTCTGGATCCCTCCGTAAGTGGATTACTGCATTCCTGTCAAACAGGCAACAAAGAGTAAAAATAGGGAGCGCTATATCAAACCCTGCTCCAGTTAACAGCAGTGTCCCCCAAGGCAGCGTTCTAGGACCCACACTCTTTATACTCTATATAAATGACTTTTGCTATCACCTTATAAGCAACTGTGTCCTCTTTGCGAATGACATAAAACTATTCAACACCACTGACAATGTTACTATCCTTCAAAGCGACCTTGATTATATGTCTGAATAATCAACATCTGGCAACTCCAAATCTCGACCAACAAATGCTCTGTCCTACATATATCAGTACACCAAATACAAACTAGGCGGATATGACCTCGTTGATGATCCTCACTCACTTGGAGTTCTCATATCAAATGACCTAAGCACCAGAGCTCACTGTAACAGCATTGCCAAAAAGGCATTAAGAGTTGTAAATCTAATCTTACAAAGCTTCTCTTCCATAAATATCGAATTGCTAACTAGAGCATACAAAACTTTTGCTAGACCAATACTCGAATACAGCTTATCAGTCTGGAATCTACACTGCATATCAGACATTAATACAATCGAGCGAGTCCAGAAGTATTTTACGAGAAGAGTACAACACTCCTCTTCTCGCAACAGAATATCCTATATCACCAGGCTTGAGATTTTGGGCTTGGACAACTTTGAACTACGCCACCTATGGTTAGACTTAAGCGAGGCACACAAAATTATCTGCTACAATGTCCTACCAGTCAGTGACTACTTCAGCTTCAACCACAAGAGCAGACAACAGATACAAACTCAATGTTAACCGCTTCAAACTTGATTGCAGAAAGTGCAACTTCAGTAACAGAGTAGTCAATGCCTGGAATGCACTACCTGACTCTGTTGTTACATCCTCTAACCCCCCACTCCTTTAACCTCAAGCTAACCACTATTGACCTCACCCCATTCCTAAGAGGTCTGTAAGGGGTGTGCATAAATGCACCATCGTGCCTACCATCCCTGTTCTATTGTCCCCATTTATTCATACCTATTTCCTGTATTCTTACTCATGTTTATACTTTTATTTATTATCTTGTAAGCGATTGACAAATCAATCAAACAAATAAATAAATGTTGCTTTATAGCCTTATAGGCACATTCACAGTCAAGGCCTCCTCATTGGATAGGGCCTGAAATAGATTTAGTGGAGGCAGGTAGCAATTGGCAAGGGGTCAGCAAACTTTATGCGGTATTGTTCAGTATCAGCCCAAGAATGGGTAGATAGCCTTCAAACTCAGAAGAGAAAACCAGGAGAGACGGACAGTATTGTTGTATTTCACTTTTTCTTTTGAATCTCTAGTGTTGCTCAGTGCGTGTCAGAAGACAGTTGGACAGAAACCTCACATTTCACAAACTGGTAGCCTGGATGATTGCACTACATACTGGTGGGTGTTCCAAAGTCCTATTTTATTCAAAGTCTCATCAGTTTAATGAGCAAAACTCATACTGAAAGAACAAGTTTCTGGAAAGGCATGAGAAATAAAAAAGACAAAACATTTGTTAAACTGATAGAAGAGAATATTTGTAGCTCAGGGTTGAGTTGTGGGATCCTTGGTGCTCTCTGAGCTTGGTTGGTTTTTTTGCCAGATGTTTCATTACCACTCTTAGGTAATATCATAAGTGCTAGTCCATTTGCTAAACCGCAATACAGTTGGATATTGAATGAACTTGTCCATTCTGCTTTATAAAACATGGCTTTTAGCTTTCTCTGCTGCACAAATCCAATCATAGTCAACAAATTATGATTAAGTAAGCCATGATTTATTACAGTATAGAAATTCAGATTGGCAACTATCAAGCACGCAGAGGATGAATTAAATAAAAGTTTATTCTATATAATTATATTTAATTTTAGATGCCTCAGGTCATCTATTCTTATACAAAACATTAAAAAGAAATAGCTTTGTGAACTTTTTGTTTCAAAGAAAGTAGAAAGAAACAGAACATAATAGCTTGATACAAATTTACTGGGGCTTTAGCAGTTTTTCATTATTGTGAATATGTGCTAGCAAGATATCTTTGTCATGTCATGTCATATTCTTTCAGCATTAAAGGCACTTATTCTACCTTGCTGTCAAATTTCATGGGTTATTTAATACTTATTTCCAAACATTTTACATTTATTTCCAAACAAATGTCTACTTTTTCAAATTTTGCAGAAAACCATTTACAGTTTAATTTTAAAAAGCCACCTCATTACAACAGAAGAAAAATAATGTAATTAAAATAATTATGTATACAACTTGAGTAGAAACAAAATGACCTATATCTGTAAAGTATGTGTCTTATAGAGTTGTTTTTATATTTCATGGGATGTTTCAGTTCTCAAAATAGTTAGCAAAAAAGCCCCTTTCCATATGAAAAAACAAACCATTTGAAAACTGATTTATCTCTTTAATATGTTAATATGTATTTTCTATCCTGCTTTTTATTTATTTTTATTTATTGCCAGCAATCCATACAATTGCACATTTATTTAACGTTGAAAGATTAGTGGATGCACGCACTGAAGAAAATGGAACCATTAAGGCTGCATTGTCTGATCTGGGTGACCAGTCAGGTGAAACTTACCTGAATTTTGCCAGAAAAAGATTTTTGGTAAGGAGATGGGAGAAAAACCAGAGGATTATTGTTTCTCATGCATGCATACAGAAAGATTTTATTTTTCCTTATAATCATTGCTACCCTAACATAATACTTTTTCTTGGGATATTGTTTCTTGGTTTTAAAGCAAGAGAAATTATACAACTCTTGTCAGAATGGATGTGTTTGGTATGATTATATCAACCTGATTTTTCCTTTCCAGAACCCTATTGGTGGCCTCTATGTGGCATTTACAACTTTGGCTGGGCTCAGTGGCGTTATCATTACATTGTGTTTAATACTAATTATCACATCATCTACCAAAACCATTCGCAGATCATACTTTGAAGTATTCTGGTTTATTCATCATCTCTTTGTTATTTTTTTTGCTGGTCTTGTCATCCATGGATTTGGGTAAGTATTTGCACTTATTCAGATATCACATTCAAGAACGGCCTAGAGACAGTATCAAAGGGACTTTCTTAGGACAATCTAACAGAACAATAAATGACTGAAGTCTGTAATATAATCATTTTTTTTCATTTTTTTTTATTTTTACTATGTAAAAAAGAGCAACAATTTCAATGTCTATATAAACTGTGTTGTCTGGTTACAGTTAGTCATAATAACGTTCATTAGTAGGGTTCATATAATAATAGTATTTTCTCAACATAATATTTATAATTATTAATACTAAATCATTAATTTATACTAAACCAAAATTAATACTAAGTTCCAAGCTCAACTTTCATTTTGATTGTAGCAAAATTTCATTTACTTTGTTAGTTTTTAAAAGTCTTTTAAAAGTTCACATTAATTTCTTTTAGCATCAGGTGGCACTCTTTAGTATGTCCAAGTTCCACCCCCTTTTCCCCTTCTTCCGCTTTTTTTTCTTTTTTGGCTTTTAAGTTTAAAAAGGTCCTTGTTTGCCTTTTGACACTTTCGATTTCAGCTTTAAGTTTGCCTATTTAGTGTCAGGATCTCCCCCCCCCCTTCTTTGCTGCAGCTTTAAAAGTCTTTTCCAAAGAATTCTTAAGTATTATAGCTCCAGGGTACCTTGTGTTCAGATGTTAATCCTGCTTAGCCCAGTCACTCAAGCTGTCCTCCTCTGCTCCTGCACGATTCTTGTCCGGTCAGATCTTCCTCTTTGTGATGGCCATTTTGGCCACCGCTGCATCCGCCTATGGAGAGGAGTTTTATGCCTCACCGAGGAGGGGGAATGTGGTTCCCTCAGCTGGCATTCTCCCCTTTCTCTGCCACCTCTACAGGGTGGCTTCAGCCCCAAATCAGGTAGATCGGGGCCCTCCAGCAGCAGGCACAGACCGAAACTGCAGACAATCGCAGATTTTGGTCCATTGCCAAGGGACCCTAACCGGAAGCTCTTATAATAGAATCATTTTTAACCTGATGGTTTTAGACCAAGCGTCCCCAACCCCTGATTTATGCACTGGTACCAATCTGTGGCATGCCAGAAACTGGGTTTTGCAAACAAGCGAAGCCCTATCCGTGAGATGCAGGTAGCATGTGAAACCATACCCCTTCCAGTCCACAGAAAAACCTTTCTCTGTGGAACCAGTCCCAGGTGTCCAAAAGTTTGGGAGCCCTGCTTTTGACTATAGTTCCTTCTATAGACTATAGGTCATATAGGACTATAGGTCATGCAGTCTGGGGCTGATATAGTTATACTTCAAAATAACGGAATGTGGACTCCTGAAACAGCTAATATGAATGGGCTTCTTCCATAATGTTTTGCTTTTTAACTCTGAACTTGAAGATACAGGTGAAACTCAAAAAATTAGAATATTGTGCAAAAGTTCATTTATTTCAGTAATGCAACTTAAAAGGTGAAACTAATATATGAGATAGACTCATTACATGGAAAACAAGAAAGTTCAAGCCGTGATTTGTCAAAATTGAGATGATTATGGCTTACAGCTCATGAAAACCCCAAATCTACAATCTCAGAAAATTAGAATATTGTGAAAAGGTTCAATATTCTAGGCTCAAAGTGTCCCACTCTAATCAGCTAATTAAGCCATAACACCTGCAAAGGATTCCAGAGCCTTTAAATGGTCTCTCAGTCTGGTTCAGTAGGAAGCACAATCATGGGAAAGACTGCTGACCTGACAGTTGTACAGAAAACCATCATTGACACCCTCCATAAGGAGGGAAAGCCTCAAAAGGTACTTGCAAAAGAAATTGGATGTCCCCAAAGTGCTGTATCAAAGCACATTAATAGAAAGTTATGTGGAAGGGAAAAGTGTGGAAGAAAAAGGTGCACAAGCAGCAGGGATGACCACAGCCTGGAGAGGATTGTCAGGAAAAGACTTTCACAAGGAGTGGACTGAGGCTGCAGTCAGTGCATCAAGAGCCACCACACACAGACAGATCCTGGATATGGGCTTCAAATGTCGTATTCCTCTTGTCAAGCCACTCCTGAACAACAAACAACGTCAGAAACGTCTTACCCAGGCTAAAGAAAAACAGACCTGGTGTTTTGCTCAGTGGTCCAAAGTCCTCTTTTCTGATGAGAGCAACTTTTGTGTCTCATTTGGAAACCAAGGACCCAGAGTCTGGAGGAAGAATGGAGAGGCACACACTGCAAGATGCTTGAAGTCCGGTGTGAAGTTTCCACAGTCTGTGTTGATTTGCAGAGCCATGTCATTTGCTGGTGTTGGTCCATTGTGCTTCATTAAGTCCAGGGTCAACACAACCATCTACCAGGGGATTTTGGAGCACTTCATGCTTCCTTCTGCATATGAGCTTTATGGGGATGCTGACTTCATTTTCCAGCAGGACTTGGCACTTGCCCACACTGCCAAAAGCATCAAAACCTGGTTCAATGACCGTGGGATTACTGTGTTTGATTGGCCAGCAAACTTGCCTGACCTGCACCCCATAGAGAATCTATGGGGCATTGCCAAGAGAAAGATGAGAGACATGAGACTGAACAATGCAGAAAAGCTGAAGGCCCCTATTGAAGCATCCTGGTCTTCCATAACACCTCAGCAGTGCCAGACTGATAGCTTCCATGCCACGCCGCATTGAGGCAGTAATTGCTGCAAAAGTACAAGTACTGAATACATATACATGCTTATACTTTTCAGAGGTCCAATATTGTTGTATGTACAATCCTTGTTTTATTGATTGCATGTAATGTTCTAATTTTCTGAGATTGTGGATTTGGGGTTTTCATGAGTTGTAAGCCATAATTATCTCAATTATGACAAATCACAGCCTGAACTATCTTGCTTTGCATGTAATGAGTCTATCTCATATATTAGTTTCACCTTTTAAGTTGCATTACTGAAATAAATGAACTTTTGCATGATATTCAAAATTTTTTGAATTTCACCTGTAATGGGATTGGTTGTTGTTCTAAATATGCAACTGTTTAAATTACATAGCCCATATATATGGACTAGAAAGTAGCTAAAATGTAGGTACATAAATTACAATTATTTAATAAGCAATAGAACATACTGTTCGTAGTTCACATATTGCACTATGACACAATATTTGTTCATTTTGATGTAGTATGATATATAAACCGCAAGATATGTGGCATGTTTAACATGCCATAATTATACCATGGATTGGTACAAATGTCTGAATTATGATGAGTGATTATCATGGGAAATATATATCAATAAATATATATTCCATCAATATGCTGTTTTCAGAATTAGTGCAAATATTCCTGCCATGCTTTTTGTTTAATTGCTGTGGATGTTTTTACAATGGATCAGTATTATTGCTACTAATGCTTGGTTTTTTGTTTGTTTGTTTTTGCAGAAGAATTGTACGGAGGCAGACCCCTGAGAGCTTTGGGGTGCATAAACCAAAAGATTGTGCCAAAAATTACACAGTCTGGGGGAAAATATCTTCATGTCCTAAACCACAGTTTGCTGGAAATCCTCCCATGGTATGATCTCTTGCTTCCTTTTAAAAACAAAACAAAACCATACAACTGTAAAGACTGCTGAATTTTTAATGTTAATGTTAGAGTTTGCTGAAAAAAGGAAAGTTAGAGAAAACAGTTGAGGGTTCAATCAGACCATAACTTATATGAACATTATTATAAGTATTTGATGTTAACATCTTTTCATTGATATGTTCAAGAATAGTTTCAGACAAAGGACAACATCTCTCTTAACAGCAATAGACTTCTGAAATTAGAGATTTGTGAAAGATGCAACTTCCTATTAACCTATAACTGTAAGCTTTTGCAAACAATGAACTTCTTGTCTGTACAAGAGGCTAATGTCTGATTTCACAACTGGAACAAATTCTGGTATATACAAAGCAGCAGTCTTTCTATTTAAGAGAGTGAGTTCACATCTCGTGCTAAATCATAAAGTGATTAATTTTAGTTTAACATGTATGAACTTAGTGACAATGGTTTGAAAGACATTGTTTCAGTTCAACCATGTTAGATGAATTCAAGGAATAGCATCGTATGAACATTTATTAAGAAAAGTTAAACAATTCTTCATTCTGCTTTTACTCATTCTGTTGGCAGACATGGAAATGGGTCATTGGCCCTATGATTCTGTATGTTTGTGAGAGACTGGTGAGATTTTGGCGCTCACAGCAAAAAGTGGTTATTACAAAGGTAAGAGTCATTAAGGTGTCTTACATGTCTCATGCCACTCAAAATGTTAGTCATTTTATTGTTGCCTTATCATCAGTGATACTTACAGATATAGATACCTACGCATAATAAGACCCAATGCTGGGAAAATATTTCCAAATTAATCATTAAAGTATTTAACATATTTATTTGGAAATCTCTTCCCAGCATTAAAATATTAAGATATTCAAAATGATTTGAATGAATGAATTTCATTCAAATTTTGATAAATATTGGAATACCTTTTGTTACTTCCTTTATCAAACTTGTGTTAATTTAGGACAAACTTTGATTTCCTCTGGCATTCAGAGAATTTTATTTCTTGTGTCAGGTTGTCACACATCCTTTCCAAACCTTTGAGCTCCAGATGAAAAAGAAAGGCTTTAAGATGGAAGTTGGACAGTACATTTTTGTCAAATGTCCTGAAGTGTCTGTACTGGAATGGCATCCTTTCACACTGACTTCTGCCCCTGAAGAAGATTATTTCAGCATTCACATACGTGTTGTAGGGGACTGGACAGAAGGTTTGTTTAAAGCTTGTGGCTGTGACAAAGAACAACTCCAAGAAGCTTGGAAACTTCCTAAGTATGTACTCCTAATAGTGATTATATTTTCTATTAAATAACTTGTTATAAAGTGCCAATCATAAAATTAAGTTTGGACCCTTTCAGTGCTATTCACTATTATCAAAATGGAAAAAAATCTTAAATGGCTTAATTGTACTATGAAAGATCAGATATTCCTTGACATAAAGAGATGAGTTTCTCAATAGTGGGAACTCAAAGTAGAGTGCATTACAATTATTATTTTGGCTTGCTGCAGATAGCCAGATGTTTAGATTGGATTTAGCATTTTTATCTACCTATCAAGTCCTTCTCAAGGACCTGGGACAGGCAGATGTTGAATTAATTAAAGGTATCATGGATGGTAACAGTGGTGGGATTCAAATTTTTTTACAAATGGTCCTGTGGGCGTGGCTTGGTGGGCATGGCAGGGGAAGGATAGTGTAAAATCTCCACTCAGGTAATATTTACAGATTCTCCAAACTACTCAAAATTTCCACTATCGGTTCTCCAGAACTGGTCAGAACCTGCTGAATACCACCTCTGGGGTGTAAGCTGTTGCAGGAAAGTTGTCTGGAATTGGCAGATGATATTGCTTGATGATCTTAAAGGTTTCATTGCAGGATATAAGCTGTTCCAAATAAAGCTGTCTTTTACAACTGACTGATAATGATTTTGTCATTGTCAATGTATTCAAGTGGTGCAGAAGTTTTGGGATTTTATTTATTTATTTGATTTGTCAATCACTTTCAAGACAATAGGTATAAGTATAAACATGAGTAAGAATACAGGAAATAGGTACGAATAAATGGGGACAAGATGACAGGGAGGGGAGGCATGATGGTACACTTATGTACGCCCCTTACCTCTTAGGAATGGGGTGAGGTCAAAAATGGATAGTTTGACGTTAAAAGAGTGAGGGTTTGAGGATGTAACAACAGAGTCAGGTAATGCATTCCAGGCATTGACCACTCTGTTGCTACTTTCCCAATCAAGTTTGGAGCGGTTAACATTGAGTTTTTATCTGTTAAGTGCTCTTGTATTATTGTGGTTGAAGCTGAAGTAGTCATTGACTGTTAAGACATTGTGTAGCAGATAATTTTGTGTGCTACGCTTAAGTCTAATCATAGGCGGCATAGTTCAAAGTTGTCCAAACCCAAAATCTCAAGCCTTGTGCATTCTGCCTATAACTGTTGGCATAAGGTATTGTATCGGTTTTTAAAGTTTGCTACATAGGTAGTTTTGTTTTTATGCCATAGTGATTTTTTAATTGAAGTTTCCTTATTGTTATAGGTAATTTGTGTTTTTTTTTTAGGGGTTACTAATGGTACATATATTTTAATGTCTCTTTCAAGTTCAAGTAAGAATGCATTATAATGGTCTTCTGAAGTATTACAGTTAGAGAACATAATGTGCCAATCAAGAGATGATAGGTCAGCATCTGTGAGATCATAGGTGGCTTTTTTGAAATTGTATTTTGGAGATCCATCATTATGATTTTCTTTGTAAGGACGTAAATTGAGACAAAAGTCAATCATACGGTGATCACTGTTTGAAAAGGGTTCTTATATTTGGAGGCCATAAATTGAGTTTGAGCTGTTGCAGAAGATGAGGTCAAGGCAGCTGTTGAGACTAGTGTTGTTAGTTACTAATTGATCCAGTCCCAGTGTGGTAACGGCATTGTACAGGATTGCATGTATGGGTTCGGATGTACATTCATTGAGGGTCCTATCTATAAGAGGTAGATTGAGGTCACCAAGGAAAATAAGAGGGTGTGGACAAGAGACAGCCCATGTCAGCAGTGAAGTTAGTTTGTTTGCATGAACTATGTCATAATTCAGGGCGCCGTAGCATAGTAAGAAGCGGATAGTGGTATTTAAGGAAAGTTCACAAACGATGGTCTCTAGAAGAGCAAGCTCCTGTCTAATTTGAAACTTTCTTAGATTTAGATATTTTTTATAAAAGATAGCAACTCCACATCCTCTACGGATTTCGTGATCTGACTGATAAATGTGATATTCTCTGACTGTGGTAATGGAGTCTGGAAAAGATGCATTCAACCACGTCTCACAGACAAATATAATATCAAATATAATATCTGTGCTTAGTAAGATGAGGAATTCATGCATTTATTGCACCCAAGGTGCCTATTATTGGTACCATCTTTGCTTTATTATTATGGGCTCTGATCACAATTAAAATAAACACAATTCTTCAAAATATGGAATAGTCCCTAAATAGAATAAGGTTGACTTCAGCCTGGTGGTAGATTATTACAGTATGATTCAGTAACAATGTCTTTCAAAAACAACAACAATGAAATCTGAAACTTTATCTTTCCGTTCTAGGATAGCTGTAGATGGTCCCTTTGGTACTGCTAGTGAAGATGTGTTCAGTTATGAAACCGTGATGCTTGTTGGAGCTGGCATAGGAGTTACCCCTTTTGCATCAATCCTCAAATCTGTGTGGTATAAGTACTGCAATAATGCCATGGACTTAAGACTCAAAAAGGTATGCCCCCAATCTGTTCCTGAGCATTCAACATTTGTTTTCTAGCATTCACTAGCATATATAAAACTAGGGAGCTGTATAGGCCCAGCTGTGATTCATTCATGAGTATGTTGATGTACAAAACTACTATTTCACATCCAACTTTTCCCACCCTTCCACGTCTTTTTTCAGATGTCTTGGACTTTACAATTTCCAGTTAATATGGCCAAGTTGAAGAAGACAGATTTATATTATAATATGCTTAAATATATATATAGGGAGATATATTATGTGAATAAGTTAGGAATTGTCCACACTTGTCTCTAACTATAGCCTAAACATGTCCCAATAACTGCTTTTTTCTCTTATGTTCTCACAATATTTTTTTGTTTTATCCACAGCTAATAGCAGAAGCAACTTAACATTGTAATTTTCTTCCTGATTTTAAAACAGTGTTTCTTTTGTAGAAAGTTAGCACCCACCCCTATCCTAGAAGAATGAAATATTCTAGGAAATATAAAAAGGCAGAATATTATATTTCCCTGGATGAGAAAAAGAGAAACATGTCTTTAAAGACAAAGCAGCTTCCTGCAGCTCCCTGTCCCACTTCAGCACCAGGGTGATGGGATCAGGGCATGATAGGATTAGCCCTCTACCCATCTCACCACATGGCACCTGGGAAGATTGCATCACCCAGCAGGATTCAACCAAGCTACTCCTGCATGGCCCCATGGGAATCTGACAACCAATCAGGATACATTTCTTGCCATAGGAACAGGAAGCACAGAGAGGGTATAAAACCTTTTCTTCCCTTTTCGCTCAGGAGCTCCAAGGCATGTGGTTCTATCCACCATTAAACCTTCTTTCCAAGCAACTTCCATGAATCCAGTGTCTTTTTCCCCACTTGGAACTAAACCCAGAAGGATATTTCTTCCAACAATTTGGCACTCAGCAGATGGGACTCCAAGCTAACCTGACCAATGGACTTGGTCCAGGTAAGCAGACCTTTGCCATCAGCAGACCCATTGAGTCTGTGGGTGAGTTTCCTGGACCTTGGCCATTTGGAACAAAGGTTTTAAAGGGTTTTTGAGTGTTGAGTTCAAAGGCTGCATGGAAAGAAGGTGAGTCTCTAAATTTTAATTTTATAGCCCAGAAAAGTAAGGGAGATATGTGTACGCCTGTGTGTGTGTCTTTCTCCCAATCACAGCTGGATCTTGCTTCCTCTGTGTGAATAATACGTTCCTAACATAGTGTCTTTGGAAATAGCTTTGTATTTTGCTTTTTCCATATTATAAAAAAGCATGCCAACCTGGTCCAAGATCATGTCCCTCCAAGGTCAGTAATCTCTTGTTCCTCAATCCAATCCGTTCTTTAACCCATGTGAGTGTTGAAGCCTGATAATACAATCCCAATCTAGTAGCCCCAAACCACCTCTACTTTTAGAATCTTGCAACATTTTCAAGTTTATCCTTGCCAAATATTGTTTAATATTGTTTTATTTAATTTTTCAAAATATTTTTTCTCCAGCTTTATTGGTATTGTTTGGAATAAATATAGTAATCTTGGCAGGATATTCATTTTTATGGTGGCTACTCTTCCCATCAATGATAGTTGAAGATTTTTCCACTTCTCTAAATCCATTTTAATTTGTTGTGCCAATTTATAATAACTTACTTGACTATCTGTATACCTAAATTTCCTCATTAGTTCTTTTTTCTGTATATCTGTAAACTATTATTTTGGGTTTTTTTCTTTATTTATTTGCAGTCCTGCAACTTCATCATATTCTTCTATTTTCCTAATTAGTTTGAATCCATTTCTTGTGGGTCTTCCAAGATAAAGACCAAATCATCTGCAAATGCCTGTAATTTATATTGTTTCTTTTTTATTTCCATACCTTTAATTTAACAGATAACAGATAATCAGAGTTGGAAGGGACCTTGTAGGTCATCTAGTCCAACCCCCTGCCCAAGCAGGAGACCCTACACCATTTCTAACAAATGGCAGTGCAATCTCTTCTTGAAAGTCTCAAGTGATGGCACTCCCACAACTTCCGAGGGCAAGCTGTTCCATTGGTTGATTGTTCTTATTGTCAGAAAGTTTCTCCTTATTTCCAGGTTAAATCTCTCCTTGTTCAGTTTCCATCCATTATTCCTTGTCTGGCCAACAGGCACTTTAGAAAATAGCTTGACCCCTTCCTGCTTGTGGCAGCCCCTCAAATATTGGAAGACCGCTATCATGTCTTGTCTAATATTTCTGTTTAGCACTTCCAATGTCAATATGACTAGAAAATGAGATAGTGGACATCCTTGTCATGCCTTTTTTATATTAAAATTCTCTGTCGTATCTCCATTTACCATCACCTTTGATGTTTGTTTATGGTATCATGTTAATAAATCTCTCATCAAAGTCCATATATTTTAATTGTAACAACATAAATTGCCAATTTATGTTGCCAAATGCTTTCTGTGCATCTAAGAAGATCAACGCCATTTGTTTTCCAGGATGTGCTTCATAGTATTCCGATGTATTTAAAATTATTCTCATATTGTTTTTAATCTGTCTCTTAGGCAAAAAGTCATTTTGATCTGAACATATAAATTCATTTAGAAACCTTTTTAGTCTCTCTGCCATTATTGAAGCATATATTTTATAGTCAGCATTCAGTAAAGATATGGGTCTATAGTTTTTTATCTGCATTTCTTCCAACATGCTCTTTTTCTAACAGTTTTCTATGAAAAAATTATTCTTCGCTGACTATTTGGTTGCTGATGCAGTTAGCAATTGGCATTTGCTTGGCTCCTCTTGCTTCATGCATGATAACAATAAACTTCTAAACTTGGAATGGAGCAGAGAAAATGACACTTTCCCAAGGGAATTAAGTTAAACACGATATTACACAAATGATAACATGCAAATTGGAACTGCATGTGAGTCTTATTGGCCAATCACAAAAATTTCTAGTGAGTCAAGAATAGTAATAATAAGAATAGTGAAAAGAATATGGTCACACAAAACCGTTGTTGGTAGAAGCCACAGAAAAGCAGCAATGTTCCAGAGGTGACAAAATTATCAAGACCCAGATGACAGGGACTTTTGGCTTAGTGATACTGAACACCTCTCTGAGTGATATCTGACACTTATCAGGTATTCAAGTTCACTGTAAGTGTTTAATGTTCTCTTGCAAAAGCATTAGACTAGCTTTTAAAACATGAGCTTAGTACTCACTTGAAAGTAAAAACATGAACTTAATACAGTTGAACTTGGGAAAGACATCTGGGTTTGCCAGCTGTGTATTGATGTTTCTGTTACTCTGAATGAAGAAAATCAACTCACATTTTAAATATTTCTTTCACTTCTATGCTAGTTGATACCTACATTATTATAGCCAAGGGATTGTCAGATGTGACAGTATTTTATGGGTTTAAGGGGGGAAAAGTGGATGAGGTCACCTAACTAAAGAGGATGTAATAATGTGAACAAATTCGATTTTATTTCCTCAGATCTATTTTTATTGGCTGTGCCGAGATACCCATGCCTTTGAATGGTTTGCTGATCTCTTACAATCAGTGGAGGCTCAAATGCAAGAAAAGAATCAGACAGATTTTCTCAGCTACAACATCTATCTTACTGGCTGGGATGAATCTCAGGTAACTATTGAATCAGAGCAATTGGATCTTTAGGAAAGGCAGACAAGCATTGCCTATCCCCTATGCAATGGGATCTGGATAGTGGGACTGGATCCAGAGTTGCTACTGCCCATGAATCCAACAGGCTTTTATCGGCCATTTTCACATTATGGATTCCACCACTAAGGCACCACCACAAATATTTGAAAAATAAATACTGTAAAGACAGATGGCAGCAGATCTAGATTTACCAACAGATTGGCTTTTATCATGGATAATTGTGATCACGCTGTTCTGAGACTAAAGTGTTATTGCTGGAATTAAAGGCAAGCGGGTATCATCAACGCAAAGGATTCAAGCAAGCATATTTATTACAGCAATGCAAATCTTTCAAAAGAGACTCTTCAGAATGCACGGGATGGGAGTGTGTCTGAAGCTGCTTTTTAAGAGGTTGATGCAGTAGCCAGCGGCATCTTCTTCCAGGCAGGCATGGCTGTTTGAAAAGCTGCTTCAAAACTGCTCCAGCTATATTTTCATTAACATAACAGCCATTCTTTTGAGTTTGCTTCTGGAGGGAGAAGAAGCAACAGTTGGGGTGGGGTGGGGAGAAGAGCTGTATATATCTGGAAAAATATGTAACTATACAACAGAAAGAGGAACATGGAAGCATTTATGCAATCTGATGCATTTCTTTCAAAATATTTGGATAGCTCTCATATCTGTAAAAACAAGTGCTTTGTTTGTGTGTGTACATGTGTTAGAACAATACAAAAATATATGGTTTTTATTCAAGGGGATAGGATGGGTGTTGGCAACCTGTAGCTCTGGAGCTGTATGTGGCTCTTTCAGCCCTCTGCTGCAGCTCCCGACACCTCCATGCCCTGCCCGCCATGCGCAGCACAGCGAAAGCACATTTCACAATGGGGGAGGTGGGGACCACTGCAGGGGTGGGATTTCAAATTTTTTAACAACTGGTTCTGTGGGCATGGCTTAGTTGGTGGGCATGGCCAGGTGACTGGTGGGCATGGCCAGGTGGCCATGTGATTAGATGGGCATGGCCAGGTGGCCAAGTGACTGCCAAACCAAATACAAGTGGTCCTTGCTTAATGGCCGTTTGCTTAGCAAGTGTTTTAATTTACGACTGATCTCCCCAGAGCTACTTGACTTGTTTTGGGAGTTTTGACAGCCATGTACACACACACACACACACACACACACACATTCTTATGATCAGTTACAACATCCCACAAAGTCATGTGACTGAGGTTTTCTATGTTTTTTGCCAGTTTCCAACAATTCCTTCTGGTTTTTGGTTTAAAATGCCCATTAGGTAAAATGGACTTAACAACCAGTGTTCGGTTAATGACCACAGGGTTCACTTTGCCTAACCTGGGGTCTGCAACCTTAAACACTCAAAGAGCCATTTTTCTATTTTCTTTCTCCCCCCTTTCATCTTTCTCTCTCTCATCTCTTTTTCTTTCTCCCCCTCTCTTTCTCATCTCTCTCTCATTTCTCTCTCTCATCTTTTTCTCCTTCTCAACTTTTTTTCTGTTTCTTATCTCTTGCTCTCATCTCTCACTCATCTCTTCCCCCTCAGTCTCGTCTCTCTCTCTTTCCCTCCCCCCTCTCCCTCTCTCTCTTTCTCTGACTGTTATGGGGGGGGGAAGGAACCTCTGAACTGGTATTGGTTGGTGGAACCTGATGAGCCAGTACTGAAGACCAGGTGGGACAATCCCGCAATCTCCCCAAAAATAATGCTTCTGGTGAGGAGGAAGATAAGTGTGGCGGGAGGAGGCTAGGCTGGTGTCAGAGGGGCGGAGAGCGCTTTGCGGCCCCTGAGGTGGGTTGAACCTCCCCGCTTGCAACATCTTCACCTGAAGGCATCGCTGGTAGCTGCTTCCTGTGGGTCAGGAGGTTTCTCTCAGCCACGCTGGCAGCATTCAACCTGGCTGCCTCTCTCCTTCTTCTTTGCCTCATACACATAGAGCAAACATGCACACATCTCACAGTGCTGGAGGGACTTGCCTACGTGCTGTCTCCTGGCAGAAGATCCTCCTGGCACCGTGTGTGCATGCTCTATCCAAGAAGAAGAGTTGCCGAACTGTTCTTCCTCTCTTTCCCTTTGCAACGAAGCTGTTTGGAAGGCAGCTCCAGCCTGGCTGTCCCTTTATGATCCCCCCCACTTCTCCCCACATCAAAGTACCTTAAAGGGACAGGCTGTGGTATCTGCCTTTACGCTGCAAAGGAAGGAAGAAAAGTTTGGCAACTCTTCTCCTCCTCCTCAGGCATACACACAGAGCGTGCCATGCATACATTGTGCACAGCACCAGAGGGACTTGCCCATGGGCAGAAGGTCCCGGCCTCTTATGTGGATGCTGTATATATGCCCGAGAAGGAGGAGACTTGCCAAGTTTTTCTTCTTCCCTCTCTTCTGACACACACTGGCCAGGCAGGTGAGCAGCATTGCGTGGGGCAAGTGTCCTCCCAGCCAGTGCGGGCCATCCCGAAGGTGAGCTCCAGAGTGGTGGCGGTGCTCCAGGAGGATGGCCCTCGGGGCCCTGGGAAACTGTCTTGTGCAGCACAGCGAAATTTACTTTAACACTAGGAATTGCTGCATTGGGTCCTGCATGTCCCACTTCCATTGGGAAATGGCTCTGGGTGCCAGAGAGGAACAGCATTCAAACTGGCTGCTTCTCTGCCACCTGGAGCTGTTTCATGATTGGAGGGGGACTTGCAGGACCCATTTTGCTGTTCCGTGAAAGACTCTCTCACTCTCCCAGCTAGAGCAATAGCAGAGAGAAGCAGCTGGGTCAGAGACCAAATGGCGCCGCTCCATATGTTCTCCGGTGACCTATTTGCGGTGGCGGTGGCAAAAGGTAAGCTTCCTGCAGCAAGGCTGGCCAAAATGTTTAAACCTATCACCAAATTGTTGGAAATGTAACCAAGAACCAGGCATATGATATCATGTGGTGGTCTTGAAAAAAAAATGCAGGAGTTTCAGTGTAGGGTTCAGACATGGTTAGATGAGATGATTGGACTACAAATAGAATATAAACCAGAACTATTTCTACTAGGAATTATGAATGAGAGACATAATAAAGAGGTGACCTATTTAATAGTACATGGAAAAATAGAGGAGTCCCCGAAGAAGGTGAGGTGATAAAGAAAATATTGATGTGTTCTGAAATGGATAGATTGACTTTGGAATTGAAAAACAAAGATGAGACAGAATATTACAAGATATGGAATAAATTTTATCAATGGTAGGAGCAGAAAGGAGGGACCCAGAATAAAAAAAATAGTTGGGATTTATAGAATGGATAAATAACATTATGTAAATAATTACAATGGAATACGATGGATAATACAATGGATATCAGTTAACCATATAAATGTATATAAGATATGCAGCATATACTTTAGTATGTATGGCAAAAATGATGCAGGACGACCACACTGTGTCCAATATTTTAATGATGTAATCAATAAAAAAAGTTTTTATTTTTTTAAAAAAGGCACACAGAAAGGCAAGAAAGTGAGGGTAGCAAAAAGCATGGCTGGAAAGGCAATGATGGTGTGCATGCAAGATAAAGAGTGATGGGGTGGGGCCAGACAGTGGCACGATTTGCTGGTTCTCTGAACTGTACAGAATCGTAACAAACAGTTCTCCCAAACCGGTCCAAACTGGATAGAATCCTATCCCTGGACCACTCCTCCTCCTGGAGCTCATTACGATGTGAAGCCACAATGTGATCCTCCCAACTCGACCCTGGCAACAGCAGTGGTGTTGGCTGTGGTACAGCACAGGGTGGGCTAGTGTCTCAGGCCAAAGAGCAGGTTGTGCATCCAGCACCAATCAAGGCTGGAAATAACCATCTGCCATTTCCTCCTGCAGTCAGGTAGTGAGAGAGACAGATTTGGCTTGACTCCGCTCCGTCTGCTCCCCTGGCTTTTGCCCAGTTTTGCAAGGATTCAGTGGATGCTGCTTTGGTGATGGGGGGGGGGTCATCCTGTACTTTGCCTGTCAATCATCTTCGGGAGGCGCCCAGGGACTATATTTTCCGGCCACTTTGGACTGAGTTGCAGAATGTGTATTCGTGCCTGTGTGAGAATGCTGCTGCTTGGGATGATGCTTCTATGAAGTGCATGCAGCGATCTAAGGTGGCAACCTCATGGTACTGTGATGTAACAGCCTGTCACTCCTTTTGCAATGCAAGATTTCTTTTTGTATCTTGTCAGAGACCGAGAGAATATGGCCAAATTTCCTTACAGTTATTCCCTGGGTTTTGGGTTGGGAAATGGGGATGGGGAGTGGGAAGGAGGGAGGGGGAGAAAGAGAAAGAAAAAAAGTTAAAAAGAGAGAAAGTGATAGACAGAAAATGTAGGCTGCGGTTGTGATTTACATGGTCTCTTTGAGAGAGATGGGTGGTTTAGAAATATGAAAAATCAATAAATGTATTAAATGTATTTATTATTTATTTAGGTTATTTTTGAAATTACTGTTGTGATAGAATATGGTAGAATGAAAATTATCTGTATGAAGATGATTGCAGTTCAATAAATATGCATTGCATGCTAAGGGACCTTCTGCACCAGGAGTTTTAAGTGCTTGTTTTCTGTGCTGGATAGAAATAAAACCCAGCTTAACAAATTGCTCTTCAGATTTGGCAACAAAGGCAACCAGATATTTGTCTAGCAATAATTTCTTTGATTAGTAGACTGCCCTGGTGTTTTCATCCATCTCAGAAAATAAGCAAAAAAATATGTTTCATTTCATGTTGGTAGAGCTTTTGGGAGAGCCTTCCTTGATTGACACTCCTTCATATTCAACACTTTCCTATCCAGTGCATCCACTGACCGATCAGAGTAGGAAAGGACAGGCTTTCCCATTCTTCTTGTCATTTGGGCTCTAGTGGAATTTTTATCAATTTCACTCAGTTAAAAAGAAGAAAGTGCACTTCAACCCTCCACTGGGAGCTGTTAGAAGAAACAAAAATTGTCTTGGGTTTGTTGGTCACTGATGAGCCTATTTTTTAAAAAAGCAGACTTTCACTGCATCAAAGAAAAAGAAAAAACACAGAGGTTCAAAACCCATCAGGGGACAGCAACTTCAGAATTGATCAGGACAAAATGTTAAAAGAGAGTGGGCATTCCTACCACAATGCACAGTAGCCAAGTGGTAAGGAGTCATTTGCCAACAATTAAATGAAGTACAACAAAAGACCCATAAATGCTGCTTGTGCCACTGGAAGTAAGACAATACTGTTTTTTTATGCAATACAAGGAAAATTGGGTTGTTTGCAATAGTTAGATAAAAAATGACATCATGCATTCTTACCCCCAAGAAACAGGACACTTATACTCACATTAGGGCAAGCCATCAGGAGATATTGAGAGGCCTCTTCCTTAGTTTTTCCTCCAACTTATACAATACATATTTGTTGATTTTGTGTTATATTTTTCTCTGCTTTGTTGGATACTATTGGGTTATTTGGAGGTGTTTTTTCTCTCTCTCCTCTCTCTTATATCAAACACAGTAACTGCTTATATTTCCCAATCTATTTCCTTCAGGTTGTACTGGATTTCAACTTCTGCGGGTTGTGTTGACTAGGAATTACAACTGGAAGACAAAAGCTTTTCTAACCATCTTCTAGTTTGTTACAAAATGTTACCTAGCAATCTTCTAATAAGGTTATTTCTTGCTTTTAATTTTCTAGGCAACTCATTTTACAATGCATCATGATGAAGAGAAAGATGTGATTACAGGCTTGAAGCAGAAAACTCAATATGGAAGACCAAATTGGGAAAATGAGTTCAAAACAATTGCAGGCCAACATCCAAAGTAGGTTTCTTGTACAATTATTAAATTTTATTATATCAGTATATAATTAATTTTATTTCATTGGTTTAGTAAATGCTGGTTCCTGTTGATTTTTGCCATTTTGAACTTTGTGCAAAACCTGTAGTAGGATCTGCAGTTGAAGTTGTCAGGTGTGAAAGATAAAAAATCCATACATTAAGGTTCAGTTTAACTTATTTATTGCTAAAAGCCTATGCACAAGAATCTTCAACTAATCTCAGCATTTGATTATAGTTAAAGGTAATGGTAATCAAGGAGGGTTGGACTTAGCTTGTGATTACATAACAATTTGAGACAGACCCTCTTTTTACTCCACCCCCTTCCCCTGACCCTGTCAGTCTTTCTCCTATAGAAGTGTAGGACTGGCTAGCCTAAAATCACTGAAGGGGAAAAAGCAATGGAAAGCAGAGCTCTCCCCAACCAACCTTGGAGTGCCGATCTCCTTGTTCAGTAGTGAGTCTAGAGTGATTCTAATAAATAGGCAAGTAGCAATAAACTTACTGTTCTGATCAGCTTCAGTATCATTCTGGTTCCTTGCACCTAACACAACCGGAGAATGTTACTTTCCAGTGTTAAAGAGTGAATTTACCTTATGAGAATTTTGATAAACGTAAGGATGTGCAGATTATAATTCTTGTAGCAGTTCAATTTTCATATTCAATATCCCTACTTATATTATATTTGGCACCTAAATATCTGTTTTTCACTTTATACCTTCAGTTCCAGGGTTGGTGTATTCCTATGCGGACCTGAAGCCTTGGCTGAAACTCTAAATAAAATGTGCATCAATAATTCAGAAGCTGACCCAAGAGGCATACACTTTATATTCAACAAAGAAAATTTTTGAAAACATACTTACAAAATTTAATTCAGCCAGGGTGAATTAATTGAAATTAATGAGAAATTAATATTTCATTGAAATTTTCTTAAAACTTTCAGGTTTGTTCGATATTATGTACTTTAGAGGAAGAATATAAAGTTTTAAACTGATGCTTTTTTAATCTCATGGCAAGTCTTCTTAAAAGGTTTAGGTTATATTAGCATTGTCAAATATACATTGAGTTCATATATTGTATTAAACCATAAAGGGATTTATATTGTTTTATGTTAGTGTGTAATCCAAATATATTGTGGAATACAAGTAAGGTTTATGGCAAACTGGGCAATCTGCAGACCATGGACTCTTTCAATTCCCCCAGCATGCCAAAATCTGATCCAGAGTTAGTTCCTTATTTAACCACAGAACTCATTGAGTGATTTTGAACCAATCATTGTCTTCCAACATCACCATTCTCAATAGGTTGCTATTGGTAAACAAAGGACAGTGTATACAAGCAGCACTAAAACTATAGCACAAATGCTCTAAGACAGGGGTCACCAACCTTTTGGACCTCAGGGACCACAAAATGCATAATTTTAAATCCCTCAGACCAGAGACCCTGGGAAAATTCCAAAAAAAGTCTGCAGGAAAATTGCCTACCCCGTTTTCCTACCGATCGACCAGTCTTTATTTGGGATCGCAGGATACCGTTTCCAGCTCCATTCTTGGGGGCGGGGGGGGGGGGAGAGACTTTTGGCTTCATGCAAGAAAAGCAGCAGAAGTCTTTCTTTCTCTCCCCCAAACTCTGCCAGAAATGAGTCTTTGTGAAACTTGTCGTGCTGGCACAGCCCCTTGGAGAAGGATGCCTTGCAGGGTTCCAAAGACTAATTTCTGGTGGAGTTTGGGGGAGAGAAAGAAAGACTTTTGCTGCTTTCCATACGTGCAGCCAAAAGCAGAAGGAAGAAGCAGAAAGAAGCAGCCTGGTAGCCAGGCGAGGCATTTGGGACATGTGGGGCAAGTTCCCCCCTCCACCCCTTACCCCCTCCCCTCACTACCTTGTGTTGTTCACAATGGAAACAACGCAAGGCTTGTGTTCCTGCGGGCCATGTGGGCGGTGCAGACTTGTGTTCCCACGCAGCCTGGATTAATTGCTTTGGGGGTTCCTTTGGGAGTGACATTTCTCTGCAGATCACCCAAATTTTCTTTTCCCCGGTCCACTAATGGCAACCAATGCTCTAAGATGCTCAATTACAATGCCTCACTCGTTATAAATCTCTTGAGGCTATATAAATAAAATTTTGCAATCATTGCTTCAGGCACTTAGATGTGTATTTTTGTGCCTCCTAGAATAGAAATAACACACCTGAAAATGAAAACTCTTCTTCTTCTTCTTAGTATATTATCAAATTAGGAGAATTATTAGAGAAAGGGTTTAAAATACTGAACATCAGAATGAGATTAGCTGTATTCCAGTCCACATTAGTTTGTATAATATATCCCAGATGGAAATCAAGCAGATATCTACTTGTACTGGTTTCTGCTGCTCACTAAAGAGCATTTTAGAGCTCAGTTTAGTATCTTACCTCTTAGCCCACTAGTTTCAAAGAACATGTCCTTGCAGCAAATATGTTCTTGAGACCATCTAATATTTGCTGCTCTGATTACCAGGGCAGTCAGCAAATCTAATTGTTCCCTTACTGATACAATTAACAGGACAAAATGAAAATATTCTTATGGTCTTAGATGTTGTATAATATTGCTAATGTTGCCAAATTTCACATAGCAGCAGTAAGATTGGCAGACGAATAACTAATGTGCCTGGATACAGAGAAACAAATTGAAGGATCTGAGGTTTTTTTTTTAATCTTTATCATTGATTGGATACTGCTTAATTGTATACTTACTCTAATCACTGATTGAACAAATTTATTTCCTGTTTTATTAATTGTATGAAAACCTAGCAATTTGTCATAAAATCTACAGGGATATCTTGGTTTATTGAAAAGTATTTTAATAAGCTAATAGACTATTAGTTTACTAAAACTATTAATACAGTACTTATTGACTTCTTAAATGTTATTTTCCTTAGTATCCATTGACTGAATTCATATTGTGCTTTACCTCCCTTTATTTGTATTTTATGTACTCTTTCTGTTCTTCATAATCCATTTTTATATAATTTTTGATGTGAAACTGAATAAAATACTAGTCAATGATTTTGAACATATTTTTTCCTAGCTGGGAGTTAAGGAAAGAAAAGGATGATATAATAGGAAACAGTTCTAATTGATGAGAAAATACTTCACTAAATGACAATATTTTAATTCTTTATGATAGGAAATAATTAAATTTGATGATTTTAAATAGAAGTTACCTCAAAAAAACAAAAACAAAAGAACAGTGTAACATAAATCTAAACAAGACAAAAGCCTTTCACAAAAACGGCTCCACTGTGAGCCTTCGGCGTTGCAATCCTGGGATACACTGAAGGCTCAGAATGCCTCTGCTTCAGCACAGAATGACTTTCGCCCTTCTCGACAGCTAGACAGTTCCCCCCCGCCCCCGCCGTGCCTGCGCCGCCACTCGTGCCGGCCATGCCCTTCCCCCGGGCTTATTTTCAGGTTGGGGTAATATTAGGTCCACTCCCCCAAAATTAGGATTGGGCTTATTATTGGGATGGGTCATGTTTTCTGAGAAACATAGTATTACTAAATTATTATTTTGATGGAACTTGCCACAACATTCTTTGGATAGTTACCAAGCTAGAAACATTTTAAAATTAAATCTCATTAATTGAACCATTCTAATTTTAGGGAGGATTGATCACTCATTCCCAAACAGTGCTGCAAAGTTCCATTATCAGACATATGTTCCAGGTCAGAATGCATTGCCCTCTGTTTTGGATCATGTTCTAGGTTTCCCATCATAACTGTTTACAATTCAAGGATTACTGATTATGATGTTTCTGTTTTCAATGAGTGAAAAAGAGAACGCATGAAACTATTTACTATTGACTAGTCAGATTTCTGATAATACGGGGCATAATTCTAGAATATATTATGCAATTAGAAAAATATGCATTGCTTAGCAGAAGTTGGCTTATCAAGAGTTAATTGACTGATTATATGACATCAAGTTTATGACAACACTTAGCAATCACATAGATTTTCTCCATGATGATCTGTCCTTGATGTATACACATTATTACTGTAATTGGATCCATCCAACTTGCTGCTGGTTGTCCTCTTCTTGTCTTTCCTTCCATCTTTCCCACCATTATATTCTTCATAGAGCTAGATCTTTGTAGAATGTTTCTGAAGTACAATAATTTAGCCTGGAAATTTATGGCTTGACTAAGAAGCCCGGGGTAATTTGTTAGATGATTCGTTTGCATTTTTGGCTGTCCACTGTATTCTCAGGAGCTTTCTCCAACACCAAATTTTGAACTTGCCAATATTCTATCTTGCTTCTTCAAAGTCCAACTTTTGCTTCAATAAAGTGTTCCAAGGAAAGGAATTAATATGGCCAATCTCTACATGGAAGAGGTAGAAACCAAAGACTCCTACACAGGAATCCCACCCACTCACTGTTATAGGTATGTGGATGATACTTGGCTCAAGATCAAAACACAGGAATTAGAAGTGTTGGAAGTGATCACCAAACATATCAACACTATGGACGTATACATCAAATTCACATGGTGTGATGATCCAACCATGATAACCTCAAAACAAAACAAAACACGCTTTGTTTCCAGCTTTTGCCAGTATGCAGGTCCAGACTTATACAGTTGTCACACCTGCAGCCCATGAAGAGAATCAAGGCCCTCACCTCCTGAGGAGACCATGTCTCTCCCTTATCCTCTCCTCTCTGCGTGCCCTAGGATGGAGAGGGGATGGGCCTGGTCTAACTGCTCAGCCAGCCTCTGCCCTTCCCCAGCCTCCTCCACAACCTCTGGAGCCACACTTCCACTCCCTGTCGGCTGTTCCTCTTCTCCCTCAGAGTCAGTCTCCACCAGGGGCATGACATGGGAAGATGTTAAGGAAAATAGACTAGTCTTCCTGGACTGTGTGGTACACATTAAGAAAGACAGAAGCCTTAATGTTGAAGTTTACAGAAAACCCACTCACATAGATCAATATTTACATTTTGATTCCCACCACCCACTGGGGCACAAAATGGGAGTCATCAGAACCCTATCAGACTCAAGGCCCATGGACTGGATCCAGCTGCAAGGTGATTAGGTCTGGCCGCAGGGCCGTCCTAGAAACAGTAAAGGACTGGCCCATGGAACCTCGGCCTGGCCCAGGCTGACTGGGCACTGATTTGCAACTTGATGGTGGCCATCCAGACTGGACTGTGACCAGCATTAGATCCACGGTGCTGCCTCGTCTCCGCCCCACCCCAGGTGTGCACATAGGATTTGGCGAGTGTGCAGTGCCTGGCGTCCCTGCGGGCTGCATTCTGAGTGCTTCCCTTTCACCTAGGACGCCAGCCCTCATGCACAGGCCACCTCCTATGCACACGCCCAGGAGGCAGGGCTGAGGCAGGACTGCAGATCTAATGCTAGCTGTGGTCCGGCTTGGATGGCTGCCATCAGCTTGCAGATCAGCACTCCACTAGCTGGGTTTTCACTGGGACCGTCCTGCCCCCACATGGAAAAGCCATGCTGCCAATCTCTCCCCCTGCTCTTGTGGCTTCCTGAGCATGAAGGAAGGAAGGAGATGGCAAGGAGACGGAATGGGACTTTTAGGACTATGGGGCTTCTGCCTGTCAGGTGTGATGGGCAATAGGCAATTGCAGGGGCTGTTGGGGTAGATGCGGCAGGCAAGTGGCAGTGGCATGCTGCTTCTGGCATGGCGGAGTGGTCCGCAGAACCTCTCAGCATCAGGCATGGAGGCAATGGAGGGGAGGGTGGACAAAAAGGGACGCTATTGCTCCACAGGTTTTTTTTTTAAAAAAAACCTGCCAGAGGCTCCGGACAGAGGCTTCCCATATTGACCCTACCCCCATCATTGCCTCAGTGTGGCTCTGCACACTGCACACATTTGTGTGTACATGTGTAGGGGGGAGGTGTCCAGCAGCAGGGGCTCCACAGCCCACTGTGACCACTGGGCTGGCCCTCCAAGCAGGTGCGGCATTGGTGGCACTGCCAGCAGAGGAGAAAGAGGCACGTGATGCAGACCACCAGACACGCCTACTCTATCCCACTTGGCTGGAATGGGCAGGCAGCTGCCCAGCGCATCCAACTGACTGGACTACGTGCCTTCCCCCTGTGCCTCTGCCTTCAGCTACTGCCACTACCGTGGGCAGAGACAAGGTGAGGTTGGAGGTGGGGCAGCTGCTGCCAGACATTATAAGCCTGCCTACTCTGTTCTGTCAGTTTTTGCTTGCATTTGGAGAGCAGGTCGCTGCTGGTCAACTCCTCAGCCCCCTTGCAGGTCTTGTCCTTGGCCCACACATGGAGTATGTTCTCCTTGCACATCCAATGCACCTCAGCATCACTGTGGGCTGCTGCCACCAACAAGGTCAGCAACAGCTCACATAAGTCCATTAGACCACTGCTGTTGCCGCCCTGAGCACCAGGCCTGCCCAGCATGAAGGAGGCAAAGTGCCTAGCTAAAAAGCCCGAAAAGAGGTGGTAGAGCATACCGAGGCCCA